AAATACAATGAAAACAGTAAGCATAAAAAATATGGGCTTACTGTATTAATATCATATAAAAGAGGCTTCAAATTAAGGAATATGGCCATAGGTAAAGAGGAATGAATATTTTATAATGATTAAAGGGCCAACTCATAAGGAAGACATAAAAATCATAAATGTTTATGTTTCTAAAAACAGAGCAACAAATGAAGCAAGAGTGACAAAACTGAAGAGAGACGTGGACAAGTACAAATCTTAGTTGGAAATGTGAACACCCCCTCTCAGTAATTAACTAAGCAAGTAGGCCAAGTAATGAATTTCTTATAATTTACAATAATAGAACACTAAACTCAATGACTACAGAACATACTCTCTTTCCAAGTACAAATGGAATGTTCATCAATATAGATCACATGCTGGGCCAATAAACAAGTTTCAATTAACTCAAAAGTTCAAAATCTTAAAGAGAAAATTAATTGAGTAAATAAATAAATGGGGGAGAAGAGTCCAATCTCTCAAGCAAAAGAACTTCAAATAGTTAATGTAGATACTCTGATCTCAAGGACAGTAGCATAAACCCTCACTGTACACAGTGACTTCTTTCTGAAGGTATAGTAAGGAAAGAGCGGGGGAAAGAGTTTACAGTGAAAAAACCTGACAAACATCACCTCAGCCAGGTGATCAAGGTCAACATCAACAAATCAAATAAAAATGATACTTTGCCTCTACGGTATTCCTCCCCCAAAACCATAACCTCACTCTAATTATGAATCAGACTCCATCAAATTCCAATAGAGAGGCATCCCACAAAACTGACCAGTATTCCTCAAAACTGCCAATGTTATCAAAAAAAAAAAAAAAAGAAGAAGAAGAAGAAAGTCTGAGAAACTGTCACAGCTAAGAGGAGCTTAAGGAGCCATGACAACTAAACATAATGTGGTATGGGATGGGATTGGGCATTACAGAACAGAAAAAGAAAATTAGATAAAAACTAAGGAAATCTGCATAAACTCTGGACTTTAGTTATTAACAATGTATCAGTATTGATTCATTAATTGTAACAAGTGTGTCATACTAATGTAAGATGTCAATAATAGAGGAAATTGAGCGCAGGGAATAAGGGAACTCTTGGTACTATCTTCTCAACATTTTGTCAATCTAAAAACTATTCAAGTCTATTAAAAATATATATAGAGAGAAAACAAAAGACACGCAACAGCACAAGAAAACCAAATAGACCTGCGCTTACATAATCAATTAATTTCTGACAAAAGAACCAAAGAAACCCTGGGGGAAAAGAAAGCCTGTTCAATAAATGCAACTGGAACAACTAGGTATCCATGTGAAAAAGCATGATCCTCAACCACTTACCTCACACCACACACAATTAATTAATTCCAGATGGATCAAAGACTAAACACAAAAGGTAAAATTATAAAGCTTGTAGAAGAAAACAGAATATCTCCGTAACCAGGGGGTAGTGAAGATTTCTTAGACTATAGAAAGCAATAACCATAAAACAAATAGTAAATTAATCTGATCGAAATTAACATCTCATTAAAAATACTATTAAGAAAAACGTTTTATAGATTATTTTTAAACAAAGTTATAAATATATAAAAGTGTGTATATATATATATATATACACACACACACACACACACAGCTGACAAAGGACTTGAATCTCCAAAATATATAAAGAACTCAAACTCAAAAAGAAAAAGACAAATAAAACTTTAAAACACAGAGATTTCACAAAGGGAGCTATAAAATAGCCAATAAGTATGTGAAAAAGTGCTCCACATCATCAGATAACAAGGAAATGAAAAATTAAAACCACTGTGAGATAATAGTACACATCAAACAGAATGGCTAAAATTAAAAACTGATAACATCAAAAGTTGGTGAGAATGTGGAGCACCCAAAACTTGCATACTTTATTGGTGAGCATAAAATGGTACAACTACCCTGGAGAAAGGTCTGATGAGTTTCTTGTATATGGAGCATACACCCACATCTACCCCTCTATCTTAGCAATTGCACTCCTAGATGGTTACTCAACAGAAACAAAAACATATGTTCATAAAGACTTTTACAAAAATTCATAGCAGCTTTTTCATGACATCCCCAAACTGGACACAATCCATGTGTTTACCAATAGAATAAACTGTGGCATATTCATAGACTGGAATTCAATGCAATAAGAAGGAAGACCTGATTAACAATGAGCACACTTAGTTTCCAGATCTTGGTTTCTGAATGGAACAGGGGCTCTTTGTGGACAAAGTTGATTTTTGGGACTGGAGAAAAAAAAATGAGTCTGGACTTTCTTATTATGTCAGAGAGTTAAAAAGTGCTTAAAGAATGATGGGAATATGTCAATAGACTACAAGAAGCATCTTGAAAGAGTTCTCACAGAACAAATTGGAGAGCATAAAATAAAATAAATGAGAGCATACTAATTTTAAGTCATTGACCGAGTTTATATAAGGACTGAGTTTATATGATATAAATAAAGTAGAGAAAGGAAAGTTTTTCCCTAATGCATTATGCCAACTAATGAATATAGAAACAAAGAGTCATAAAATAACCAACAGTGGCTAAAAGAGTGGGTGAAAACTTAATGAACCAGGTAAATAGTAATTTTATGGTGGACAGACTTGATATAATATTATATCCCTCCTGACAAGATTCAACAAGGACACATCCTTTCTGAGGTGCTTCAGACAAAAATTCATCATCTGAATATCATAACAAGAAATATCAGAAAAAAACAACTAGCCTTTTTTTTTTTTTTTAATAACAAGGTCAAGAAAGGCAAAGAAAGCCTAAGGAATGGTTTCAGATTAAAAGAGAATGAAGAAACACAACTAAATGCAGCATATGGTCCTGGATGGGATGCCAGACTGGGGGGAAGAAAATAGTCATAAGGAACATCAATAGAATAACTGACAAATTTTAAAAATTCAAAAATTTAAAAATTTCATGAGACAGTATTAAGTGTTGACAAAAATCCTCAGAAGTAGATAATAGATTGTATCAAAGTCAAATTCCCTGATTTTGATATTTATTCTGTGGTTATACACAGGAACATCCTTGATCTTAAAAAAACTTGACATTTTGAGAGAAAAATGGCATGGCATCTCCAAATTACTCTCCAATGTCTCAGAGGGAAAACATATCTATGTAACACACATATGCACACATATACATACACATAGTGACAGGGAGAGAATGACAAAGCAAACAGGGCAAAATGTAAGCAAGTGGTGAATCCAGGTAAACGGTATACAGGAGTTCCTGGTATTATTCTTGCAACTTTTCTGTAGTTTTGCTATATCAAAACCAAAAGGTTACCAAAACATACTTACACATACATAATTGTAATTATTCTCCACTTAATATGGAGAAACAACAGCTCGGGATATTAAGAGACTTTTTCAGCCACAAAACTATTAAGAGCCAGGCTTAGAACCTGAATGCAGGTCTGACACCTTTCCTGTGTCATTGTCCAGTCCCATCAGATATTAATCAATCAGCAAATTACCCTATAGACCTTAGCATAGACCACAAGCACTTCCCCATCCCTTAGTTCTCTGCCCTTCCTCTTATTACTCCTCCAACTCCCCTTGCACAGGTCAAACATGCAAAGTATGAGGCCTCCTCAGGGCGGGCATCTGCTCTCTACACCTGTCTGGGTTGCTCTCTTCCCAGAGATCAGCAGAGCTCGCTCATGTCCTTCAGCACTCCGACATCACCTTAGAAAGTCCTGTTGTTGCCCTAAATAAAGCAGACAGCATCCCTCTCTCCAGTCTCAATTCCCCTTACCCTGCTTCATTTTTCTCAGCACTGACCACACTCTGACATGTTATGTATTTATGTGTCTTCCTTGACAGAATATGGGGTTCCACAAGGATGGGGACTTGGTCTATTTTTTGATTACTGCTATATATTTGCAGTTCTTGTAATAGCCTGGCATGTGTATGCCATGCTCAAAAAATATTTACAACTAGATAAATGAACAAATGCATGTGATTCCAATTAAATATGCAACAGAATTTTTCTGGAAATTGATCGATTGGCTCTAAAATGTATATTAAAGAATAAGGGTGCACAAATAGCTAGACGACTATAAAAATGAAAAAGAGGGGGTACTCACCCTACGAGATAGTTGCAAATCTACAGTAACTATGATATTGTTATGGGACTACATGGATCAGTAAAACAGAACAAAGTCCACAGACAGACTAGCAAATATGGGTACGTATGACAGAGTAGAACCACAAATCAACTAGGAAAGGAAAGGCTCTTAACAGTGGTGTTAGGTAACTTTCACCACATGAGAAAAAAAATAAAATTGAATCCTGACCTTATATCATACAAAAATAAATTCCAGATAAAGACTTAACATTCAAAAAGTCCTCTAAAACTATAAGAAAAAAGATTACTATAGAAAACATGGTAGATAAGATTTCTTAAAGACACCAAAACAAATCTCACAAACCACAAAAAACAAGATATATAGGTTGGACTTAAATATTAAAAAGCACTTATATGAAAAAAACACATGATAAACATGTAAAAGGCAAATAAACTGAAAGTTATTTTAATGTTACTCCTGCGACTCACCAAGAAAAAAACAAAACAGCCCAAGAGAAAACCAGCCAAAGTATACTTGTGATTTACCAGTGAAGAAATCCTGTCAGCACACACATGAAAAAAAAAAAAAAAACCCAGACTCATTAGAAATCGCAGAAAAGCACATTAAAATATTTTTTCACTCATCAAACAAAATTTCATAGGACAGTAGCAGGTGTTGACAAAGATGTAGAAAATAGTAACTTTTGAATGCTGTAGTGAGCCCGGAAAATAGTACAGCCATTTTGAAGAACCATTAAGTTCACGCCAAACTGGAGGTGTCCATTTTTTACGACACAGCATAATGAGAGATGCAAAAGGCTGTTCCTTGCAGCACTGTTTTTATAGGAAAATGCTGAATATACCTAAATGTCCACTAATATGAGAATAAACAAAGGGTATCATATTTATTCAATAGAATACAGTGGTTATAAGTAAATGTATACAAATCAACATAGATATAACAAGTGAAAATAAAGGATACAGACAGTTTGATGAGATTTACATACATTTTTAAAACACCAAAATAATACCATTCCCTTATGATATCGGGTAAAAACATAAAGGATGAATGTATACACAGACTCATTGTGGTGGATGCCTCTGTAGAGTACCAGAAAGGAACAAGACTGTGAGAACTAGTGAAAGGAATTTTACTTACATCTCAACCTGTTATTTAAAATGGGGGGAGTATTACTTCTGGATGGTGGGGAATGTGGACATTTTTCATTTATCCTTTTTGGTTATTTTTCAAATTTTTTCATTTGCAGTATACTTCCTCTGGCACTCAACCACAAGCTCCTTCCAACAGTGGTAGGAAAACTAGTGGTGCTAGACACACTGAAAACAGCAGAATGCCCAACTTTATACATGATTCAAATAGTGTCCAAAGTAAATGTTGACTATACGTGATTTTAGCCTTAATTGAGAAACTTTAGTGTTAATTCTTTCATAAATTGAGATTCACAGCATTCATCAACATGAAAACTGAAAAGCAAACTACATGTAAAACATTGCTTCATTTAGACAAGGATCTTTGAAGGTCCAATTATATATACAAAATTAAGTTAACCAAAATCCCTTTTCTCCAGTGCCATCTGGTGGAAAATAGAGGCAACGTTATCTGTACCCTCCGTAAAAACCCCACAGCTGTGGTTATTAGGGCACCATTTTTTTTTTTTTTCAAAGAAACACCCGCTCTTATTCTGAGGTAACTGTGAAGTACACCAGTAACTGTTTGCTTTCTTTAGAGCCTTCCTCAAACTAAATTCTTCAGACGACAGGTTAGAGAAGAGCTTTATCTTCCCCTACTCAGATTCCTACTTTAATGTTTTTAAATCAAGTGATGCTTTAACTTCTTCCTCACCAGACTGCTATACAATCATAACCTGCATTCATCCGTATTTTAAACCTGAGTAAACAATCCCAACAGCTGATTTCTATATTAAAAATTTAGTGTCATTTTGCCTTACAAAGCATTTTTCACTTAAAGAACTTTTAAAATATAACATGTTGTCACTATAAATATGCAGTGGGAATTATAAGTAATTCCTTCTTCTGAGCACAGGATTGAGATAGTACAAAACATGCATTATCTTACCAAGAGCCAACAAAATACACTAGATTATTCAGACAATAAAGAAAAATAACATAAAAAAGAACGAAACAAAATAACCAGGTTATTAATCCCCCGATTTGCAATACTGATTTCTTTCATCCATCTACCCCAGAGATATAACTAAGCGAAGTGGTAAAATTATCCTCGAAAATGCCAACTGTACTCAGAAAAATAATTCTAAATGGTTTTTCATTAGTGTTTTATGTGGCTATGATTCCATTTGAGCTTTATAACCTGTTATAACCTGTTTTATTCGTTTCCAAAGCAGATCTACCTAGCAAAGGATGGAAACAAAGTCAAAGGCACTCCCTCCCTTACAGGCTCAAAATTGTTAGATTTTCATATACATTTAATGAGTTTCAGTCATTCCATTTAAATGATCCCGTAGATTCATACAAACACACTGAATTGTTGGTTTAACTTTTTCTTTCTCAAAATTTATGATAAAGAGACTAATCCCTGTATTGGGACTGAGTGATGTAAAGTCTGATTTGCTCAGAGTTGCTGGTAAGGAACACTTAAGGTCATTCAGAAAATAATCAAACAGGATTTTCATGTAAGCACTATGACTCACGACTAAGACATTGGCTACTAATTCTGTTGCGCCACTGTCTGAATTAAATTTGGAGGCACAGTTTTTTCCTAAAGGGAAAATGTCTGCCAAAGAAGTTTCCATACAGTTGCTTGCAGTTCCTGGGGAAAACTGTTGTTTTTGATCTGCTTCCTTTAGGATCAGTTGACAAAGAAATTCAAAAAAGTCTTTTGCACGCATCTTCACCTACAAAGAAGGAAGGAAAGAAAAAGTGAAACAAAGTGACATTAATGACTATCTTAAAACATAACTGACTGGATTTTTCTATATCAACTTTAGCACTACCTAAGCAGGTGAAGCTCTATATTTCTAATCACTCAATCAATAGTTCCACGGACATTAGTAAGTACCCACCATAATTCTGAAACTATGGAAGCACACTGGGGACAAAAATGAGTAAGAAAAAATTCCTAATTTCTGACTTCAAAGCACTCAGAATCTAGTTAGGAAAATACACAAGTAAACAGAAGCCCTTAAATAGTGTTAACGAAGTAACTACATCTGACACTCAGTTCAATTAGAATGACAAAGACAAAAATATCTTTCCTTTAATAAATTAACAGAAAGTCTTTACAACAAAATTGTGAAAATGAAGAATAGGGGTAAAAATCCCCACTATTTCAATTCAAAAGCAGAATGCTCCAAAGGAATGCAAGCATGGTGATGCCATCACTTACAGAGTTAGAGAGGCAGTGGGGCCTGAAAATTTCAAGTCTTGAGTTATTGTGCCTCTCGAGTGTTTTGCCTATCATTCTCCTTGAAAGCACCACACACTTGCTTTACTGACTACCATTACTGAAGTTATTGCTTCATATTCAAAGAGTTTTCTTAATGGTTAACATCTAATAACACACGTCCTTTAAATCCATTATCAGTTATGGCTGTCAACTTAACAGTCAACTAAAAAGATAGGATAGCTTTTTAAAAAATTGACATCATAAAGAGTTATTTCACGAACCGAACAACTTTCAAACTGCTTAGCTGAAATTCAGAAATATCTAATTTACAAAAAGGTCAGACTGCAGCTACTGTGACGTTAGGAAATTCATCAGTCAACAGGCTACATACCTGGTCTAAAGTCTCTGCTCCAGGCGGTGTGAACATAGGGTATTCTCCTCCAGCTGCTTTGGCCATTGCCCTTAGCTCACTGTGTCCCTTGCCTTCTACAATCCCGTATTTCTGAAATGGTCCAATGGACAAAAAGTGCCTCCAATGAATTTGCAATACAACAATTAAGTACAAGTTTATGACAAATTTAAAACAATCACCCCAGGAAGAAGCATGGTTTTCTTCTACTTAATGATATCTCCTCTGAACTGATAATTCCCCACAATGATAATGGATTACTTGCATAGTAAAATATGCAAAGAGACAAATAATTATTTATGGTTTACATCGATGACACCAGAAGATTCTAACACCACCATCGGATAGATTTCAATAGTAAAATATTATTTTTAAAAAGGGTATATGCACATTTTGCCAGGTGCTCTTATAATCCTCAAGTCCAAAAGTTCTTACATCATCAACTATATCTGGAGCAACCTCTATTACAATGAAGAACATTAATAATCATCACTTTTCACTTTTTTAAGAATAAAAACATCTATCGGTTAAATATTTCAAACACTACACTAAAGCGTGTTAGGAAATGGTGCCACAGCAGTGAAGGAGAGCAGGGTGACCCGTGGCTCGCCGCCCCTGCTGAGATCACAGGGTCGGGGGATACTAACCCAGGAACACTAGTGGAAAAGTGCCATGACAGAGGGAAACACTGAGCACAGACACGCACAGCACAGACACCTAATCTGGACTTGGGGAATCACAGAAGGCCAAAGCCTGGGGGTGAGTGGAAGTGGGCCAGGCATAGGGAGCAAGTAATCCAGATGCGGATTCAGAAGTTCAGTAAGGAAAGAGTATGGAGTGTTTGGGCACCTCAAGAAGGTCCTTGAGAGGCATGTGATTAGTAGCCCAGAGCATGGACACCAGAGCCAGACAGCTTCGATTTTTAATCTGAGCTCTACCACGAACGATCTCTGTGACCCCGGGCATGGACTTAACTTCTGTGTGCCTTTGTTTCCGCACCTGTAAAATGAGGACTAAAACTGAGGTTTTTAAATCTTCACCCCATCAGTTGTTGTGAAGATTAATAAGCCTGCAGTGCTTGGAACAGTGCTAAAATGTGGTGCACATTGTGTAAATGTTCACCTCATATTATTACTAAGACTGGGCACCAGGGCCAAGGAAGGACAGAGATGGAGGCAACAGATCAGATCTCACAGCATGTGAGGAATAGCTAAGACCTTGGACAATCTTTGAAGATAAAAGAGAAGTAGTGAACTGCTTTATATAGGGGCATAGCAACCAAATTTTCCAAAGATTACTCTGGCTTGCAGTGTAGAAATTGGATTAGCAAAGGGGGTACAGTGAAAACAGGAGAATCACTGTTCCAGTGATCTAGGTGACAGATGACACTGACCTTCAATAGGATGGCAACAGTGAGTTTGCAGAGAAATGAAGGATTCAAGAACTATTTAGAGGTAGAAGTGACAAGATGATAATTCGATGTACAGTGTCAGAGACAATGAAGTCAAGAATGAACGGTTTAGGCAACTGGATAAAGCAGGCGTCAGGTAGAGAAAATTCTCACTCCCCTGAGCTGAAAGTAGATGTGAGGCATTCAAACAGATATTAACGGGCAGCAGTTTCATGTGTGAGCGTGCAGCTCAGGTAAGAAATCTGTTAAAACACCTCTTTGGAAATCGTCAGCCCATTAACTGAAATCATAAGGGAGGATGAAATGACTTGGAGAGAACACAGAAGGAGAAAAGATGAGATGGCCCAGTCTGATAACATTCCTGCCATGTGATGATAGGCCCTGTTCAGTGTTTCACTGAACTCAGAATGTTTTCGTTTTGAGCATTGGTTTTCCGGCACAGAACAACCCTTTCCAAGCAGTATTTACGCTGGAGCTCTAGTATATATGTTGAACTATGACAGAGAACACATCCAAGTTAAGAAAAGAAATTCTTTAAAGATGCCCTAGCTATTCTGTTACATTTCTGTCCAGGTATAGAAGAAATCACAGGGCTGACAGGGACATCGACCAGCTTATATAGGTCAGTGTTATAGAGCATAATAAGAATACTGCTCTAGGAGGAGACTTAGAGTCAAATCTCAGATTTGAAATTGTTGTATGGCTTTAGCTAAATCTCAGTTTCAGAAAGATTCATCTCTGGTATATAAAATGAGTATTTATGCTTATAATCAAGGAGTAAGATTGGGAGGCCGAGGGAGAGAACTTTTCACTTTTAAACTCTGCTGTACTGTGTTAAATTCTTATGAGTATATCTTGCTTTTACAATTTAAGATGTAAATCATATGATTTTAATAATTAAATAAGATACTATCTATGAAAGTATGTAACAGTGACTGTTGAATCAAAGATTGTTAACAGATGTTAGCTGTTTCCATATTCCTAGCAGGAAGGCATTTAATTTTTAGCCATGTGATAAACTGATGTGGTTATTAATAATTTACGATAAAGGATATGTAAGTTACTTACTCTCTCTCGAAGTCTTGAATCATATTCTACTGTCATATCTTTGCAAAATTTGTTCTTCTCCAAAATCCCATGCACAGTCTGAAAATCAAAAGACAACTGTTTCTCATAAAAATAATTATTCTGGCCAAATCATCAAAACAATACATGCCTTCTTAGTGAATAAAAAAGAACTAGAAATAATTTTCCTTTGCAAAAGTTGCCTCTTTGTACTGCTCGTCCTTTGTCTCTTCATGTCAGATTTTCATATTTCCTTATAAACTATCTTCTAGTTCAGAGGTCAGCCTACAGCCCAAATCCAGAACATTACTTGTTTTTGTAAATAAAGTTTTACTAGAACACAGCCATTTATGTATTGTTTATGGCTGCTTTCACAGGACAATAGCAGTTGAATAGCTGTGACAGAGCCCATACGGTCCACAAAACTTAAAGTATTTATTATCTGGTCCTTTACATAAAAGCTTCTAGTTCATCAACTTTCCATTTGGGTGTGTCTAAATTGCTATTAAACGCATCCATTAAGACTTAATTTCAGTTATATTTTCAGTTCTAGAATTTGTATTTGATTCTTGCTTACAGTTTCCAGTAATCCACTGATTTTCTCAATGGCTTTTATCTATGCGTTAAATGGTTATTTCAAAGCCTACATCTAATAACTCCTGTTATTAAATAATTCCTGTTTCTGTTTCTGCTGTCTTCCATTTTTGCTCATTTTCAAATTTCCTTCTCATCATGCACCTGGTTATTTTTGATCTACAAGAGACACTGTATTTGTAAAACTGGAAATTATTTAAGTCTAAAACCTGCCTTATAATTTGACCCCCTCCCCACAAGTTAAATTATCATCATTATTGTTTTATTTGTCAATAGTCATACATATATACCTAAACCTTTAGCAGTTTCTTTGCTCACTATTCTTTTCTGAAACTCAGACCTTCTTTCAGGAATTATTTTCCTTCCTCAATCATCCTTTGAATGTTCTTTACAACCTATTTGTATGAAATGTCTTCATTTCACCTACACTTAGAAAATGTTTTGCTAGGTATAAAACTCTAGGTTAATCCTATTGTCTCTCAACACCTTAAAGAAATTATTGATACTGACAAATTTGCTTATAGCCTAATACTGGCCTTTAGTAAACGATGTTTTTCTTTCTTATTCTTTGGAGTTTTGCAATTTTGTTGTAAACATAGATGTGAGTTACTTTTTATTTGTCCTGAAGAATTTGTTATACTTTCTGGATCTGATCATTTATCTTCCAACAAGTCTGGAGAATTATCAACAGTGACCTCTTTGAATATTGCCTCTTTTCCATTCTCTCTGATACCTCCCTTTGAAAGATATTAGACCTCATCATGTTCATGTCTTTTAAACTCTCCTATTTTAAATCTATTTATCACACTGTGCTATATTTCAGTTACTATCTTATATTTATCTATAAGCTAATGATTATTTCAGCTATATCTAATCTATAATTTAGTACTCATGGTCCCAGGCAATCTGCTTTATGTAGAATAGATTAGTCTTTTCCAGAGTCTCATCTAAATGGAATCATACCATAGGTACTCTTTTGTGTCTGGCTTCTTTTGCTCAGCATAATGCCTTTAAGACTCCTCCATGTTGTTGCTAAGTTGTAATCCATTGTATAAATATATAAATAGTTCATTTATCTATTCACCTACTAATGGGCACATGGCTTGTTTCTACTCTTTGCCCATTAGTTGCTATTAAACAGTTGTATACAAGTCTTTGTCTGGACGTGTATTCTTATCTCTCTTGGATAAATTCCTGAGACTGAAATTGCTAAATCATATAGTTAGTGTATGTTAACCTGTCAAACTGTTTTCCAAAGTAGTTGTTCCATTTTACATTCTCATTAGCAATGTATGAGTTCTAGTTGTTCCACATCTTTTTATCATCTTAATTTTAGTCATTTGAATGTTTGTATAATGGCATCTCATTGTGGTTTTAATTTATATTTGCTATGATTATGCTAAGCATATTTTATTTCTGTTTATGGCCTTCTATGTATCTTCTTTTACAAAGTGCCTGGTCAAATTCAAATCTTTCACCCATTTTTACTTTTTACTTTTTTTTTTTTAATGTCTGTAGCACCTGGTATTCCTAGGTGGTCTCCCATCCAAGTATTAACCAGGTCCGACCCTGCTTAGCTTCTGAGATCAGACGAGATTGAGTACATTCAGGGTGGCATGGCCGTAGACCTTTCACCCATTTTTAAAGTGAAGTGTTTGTCTAATTACTGAGTTGAAAGAATTCTAGTGCTTTGTCTCAAGAAACCTTTATAAAGATTTTTCTCCTGTGTTTTCTTATAGAAGTTTTATAGATTTAGTTTTTAGATTTGTTCTATGATCAATTGCAAGTTAATTTTTCTGTGAGGTAAGACTCAAAGTTTATGTTGATCCATATGGATAGCCCATTGTTTCAGCACCCCTTATTGAAAAGACTACCCTTTAAACCACTGAATTACCCTAGCACCTTTGCCAAAACTCAACTGAGCGCCCCCCTCCGCCCCGCCACAAAAAAAAACCCTCAAAAACAATTGACCATATAAGTGTGGGTTTATTTTAGGTCCCACAACTTTTGCTTGAGAGAAAAAGTCTATTTTGCCTTAATTTTTCAAAGTATTTTCACTGGATAAATATCTGGAATTTTTTAAGTCATTATTTCTTCATAATATATATATTTTTTATCTTCATACTCATCTCTCACTCCCACTTCTCTTTTGAAACTTCAACTACATGTATATTAAATTTCATTGTCCTACACTTCACTGAGACCGTTTTTCCTTTTTTTAGTCTTTTCTTCTTTCTATATCTTCATGTTCACTGACCTCTTCTTCTAGTGTCCAATCTGCTGTTAATCCCATCTTGTGAAATTTTCATTTCAGAATATTATATTTTTTATCTCTGGAAGATGAATTTGGTTCTTTTTTTATATCTTCTATTGCTCTCCTCATTATGTTCCTCTAAGGATAGTTTAGCCTCATGATTAAGGTGTAACCTTTGTGACATCTCTACCATATGCTCTATGTATTCAATGAAATCTCTCTACTTTGGCTGGTGAGAACTCAAATTGATTCCTACACCATGTGAACTCTAGGAATTGTTCAGCTTACAACTCCCCAGCAATTACTCTCTCCTCTGACATTGTGTTTTGCTTGGCCTCATGCAGTTTCACCCTATACATGCACAGATTAATAGTCTATCAAAGATTTAAGGAGATCCTTATACATATTTCTAGAGTTCTTTCTCTATGCAGCTCTCTCTCCCAGTATTCTGCCCCACAGTTAAGTTATTTAACCATCCCAAATTCCAAGCTTTGTCTCCTGAATTCACTGATACCACTGGATTCTATTTGGCTTCTCCTACCAGAATCCCTAGGGTTCTCTGGGATTTCCAGCTGAAGCAGTGTCCACTTCATTTGGGGATCATACATCCACACTACCTGAAGTCCAATGTCTGCAAAAGTTGTTTCACAAATTTTGTCATGTTTTCTAGCTGTTTACAGGGGGAGGCTAAATTCCAACTCTGTTATTCCCTTATAGTTGTCACAAAAGTCTCCTTCCACTGAGCTTTTAGAAGCTGCTTTGGTTATTTTTAAAACCTCTAATGTTGTTTTTATAGCAATCTGTTCCCTAAAGATATTTCAAACACGTTTTATTTCTTTATAGTAACATTGCTTGTGTTTTAATTGTATCTAGTAATTCCAACATCTGATGTCTTTGTGGGTTAAATTCTCCTGTCTATTGTTTCTGCTTGGCTCTCTCATGACACCATGTCTTTTTTTAGACATTTTGATAGACATTTTCCCTAAAGCTACTCTAATTTAATAATTACCAAACCAAAATAAAGTTAAATTTAAAAAAAGAAGTTCTGTCAACAGGAAGAGAGGGTTGAGAGTGATGTTTGTGTGTGATTTAATTTCCTACAGAATTTGGTAGCAGATTTTTCAAAGTTACAACTATGGAGACTTTTGGTTCATCAGCCTAAACCTAGACTCTAAATTACTTACCTGCTTTGTCCTTATGAGATCACTGGCGAAAATATGAGTAAACTTCACATTATTAAAAAATATACCAGCAGCAGCTACTTGTTTAAATCCAGTTTCTGAAAGAGACTCATCTATTCCTTGCCCTGTAGTATTAGGAGAAAGAACAATACCATTCAAAGATATATATATACACACACACACACATACACACATACATACATACAAAAATGCAAATTAAGTCACATGTAAGAGAATATAAATAGTATTTATCCATATTTTATTGAAATATTTCCTTGGGTACTTTTCCATATAATTTGTCAGAGAACTAACAAGTAAAATTAAGCTATAATCCTCTAAAGGCTCAGGTATTCAAATGTTTCCCAAAAGAATGTTTGCATAATGAGAATTAGATGATAATGAGAATTTAACTGTCTCAAGTTTTCCCCTCTTTCACATTTGCCCATCCCTTCATTAGCTACAGTTTATTAATGCTGGCTCTGATCTTATGTTCTCAACTCAGATGTTATGTTTGGGTGGTAAGATCATCATCTAAGGAATTTTTTCCTTCTTTATCTCCATGGTCCAAATGTTCTATATTGTATTATTTTCTCTCCCTTCTTTCCTTCTTCACTTAAAAAAGCATTTTGGAATTACCACTTCCTGGAGAAAGGCTGATTAGAATACTTTGAAGGCTCCTCCTACTACAAAAGAACTAAGTGTACGTGCGTGCATGCGTGTGTGTGTGTGTGTGTGTGTGTGTGTGTGTGTGTGTTGCATTCCTGGGCTCACAGGATATAAAGAAAATCTCCAAGAGAAAAGTAAAGCAACCAAAAACCCTCAAGATGAATCCTGAATATTAAAATGAAAAAATGGGTTGCTGGGGTGGGGGGAACACGCTGCTGCATGAGACAGCAAGGTAGGAGAACTGAAGAACTAAACCTAATATTCCTACAAATCAGGAATCCTTTAAGAAAGCAAATGTAGTCTCAGGTCAGTGGCAAAATCAAATGCAAATCCTCATCACAGCAAATCATTCTCATAAAGGCTAACAAGTTTTCTACTAATTTAGTTCAGTCAAAGACTTAACACACAAGAAATCATTCCATCATGAATGAAAGGCACAGAAACAATAAGCAACAGATTTAGAACCATTAAAACGTCAGACTTTGAAATCAGCAAATACAGACTAAAATAACTTATGATTAAAATGTAAAGGCAGAACCACAAAAATAAGCAAATAACAAGAAGTCATCAAAAACAACCAGAGAGCTTTCAAGAGAACCAAACAGATCTTTTAATAATGAAAAAATGAATTGCTGAGGGAGGAAAAATCCCTCAGTGGATCAAGGGAGATCTAATTGTAGGGATGCTTTGTAAACTCCAAGACAGGCCTGAAGTCATTACCCAGAATGCAGCATGGATACAGATGAAACATCTCCAATATAGCACAGTAACAACAGAAAGAATAAGCATTCCTAACTTACATCTAATTGGAACTCTAGAAAAAGAAAAAAAATAATGGGGTAGAAGAAATATGAAGAGATTATGGCTGAGAATGTTCCAGAAATCTACAGATAAAGGAAACACAATGTACATCAAACAGGATAAATTTTTTAAAATCTTTTGTGGATATATTAAGGGAAATTGTAGAATAACAAAAATCAAAGAGATTTTAAAAGCAGTTATAGAGAAAGACGAATTACCTACCATGAACACCATTCGGCTTTTTAACAAGAACAATAGTATAAAACAGCAAGTGCTAAGAGACCTGTCAGCCTAGCATATCTAGACTAAAAGTGATTAAACAGAATAAAAATATAATTGTCTAGACTAGAAATGATTGAAACTATCTTGACCATTAACTAATCTACACTAGGGGAACTTTCAAAGAAAATACTTCGGGAATGAAGGTCTGGGATACAAAAAAAATACTAAGAGAAACTGGTAAATATATATGTAAATCTGAACAAACACTGTCTAAATAAATTATAGCTAAGTCCTAGGTTTAAAAAAGGATAGGACTGAGATACTAAACAGTAAGTTCTTTGTATTTTTCAGGAGAGGGAATATTAATCTTATACTTTATTAGGTATGAATGGTAAAAATTTAAAGATAACCATTAAAAGAACAGAAATGAGAGGTTCTCGGAAAAAATGGCCTAGATGGTAGAGGCTTTGTTCATTCCTCTTGTGACCAAATCAAAGTTGTGACAGGAACATGGAGCACAGCAAGGAAAGTTGCCTGGGATCTAGACGAACAAAAGCACTACAACTAGAGAGAGAAATAATTAATCACTCTGCAATGGTAGAATGTAGGAGGGGATGAAGACATGAGGCTGCCCAGTCCCTAACAGCTGAGTGGGACAGAGGCTATGGCAGCGGCAGCTTCGGACGCCTCTTAAAGGGGCCGTGTCTGCAAGCAGACTTTTGCCATGATGGATTTGATCACTCTGAGCACCCATGCTGGGTAGGGGGCACCAGGAACTTACAGGGGGACACCGAGTTGTCGGAGTGAGGGCTGGAGGCGAGGCTCTCTCTTGAGCAGAAGTGCCGGTGGTATCCATTGTTCCTCTGTTGAGTCCTCCTGCCTCCACGTCCCCTCTCCCCGCTCCATGTGTAGACGCAACAACGTCACAGCTGAGATGTCACAAAACTGGGAAACAGAGGTCACTCTGCCCAGAGGATTCCCTGAAACTCCGCCTCCCCCAACTCACGGCCCCACCCAAGCCACATCCAGTTGTCCTCTGTGAGTCTAGTGCTCCTTGCTGAGCCAACTCCAAGACTCACACTGGTGACAGCGGGCCTCAGCTTCTGGCATGACCTCTTGAGGCAATTATTAGCACAGCATCTGTGGGTTGTTTGCTGAATCCTAAGAGGTGGCCCTGGAGGGGCACAGGCTGAAGCTAAACTTGGCCTGCAGCTGAACCCCTCTCAGGACTGTGCCACTGGACACCTACCACACGAAGCCGCACTAATAAGACTAGGAAACTTAGCAGCTTTGCCTAATACGTAAAACAGACACAGAAAGGCAGCCAAAATGGGAAGACAAAGAGCAAATAATAGTTCAGTCAAAGAGAACAGAACAGAGATCCAGAAATAATGGAGTCAAGCAATCTAACAGATGCAGAGTTCAAAACACTGGTTATAAAAATGCTCAATGGTCCTAGGGGAAATATAGATGAATTCAGTGAGAACTTTAACAAAGACATAAAAAACAAAAATGGAAATGGAAATTATAAAAGGGAACCCGTCAGAAATGAAGAACACATTATCTGAGATGAAGAATATATTAGAGAGAATAAACAGAATGGATAAAGAAGAGGACTGAACCGCCAATATAGAGAATGGGGAAGCCATGGACAGTCAGTCAGAACAGCAAGAAAAAAGAAGTCAAGGCTATAATAATAATTTAAGGGGCCTATAGGACACAATTAAATGTAAAAATATCCATGTCATAGGGGTACCGAAGGGAAAACGAGAAGTTGAAGAGCTATTTGAAGAAACAATGATGGAAAACTTCCCTAACCTGGTGAAGGAAATAAACGTACAACCCCAGGAAGCTCAGAGAGTCCCAAAAAGGATGAACCCAAAGCGGCCCACACCAAGACACGATATAATTAAAATGCCAAAGGTTAAATACAAAAAGAGATTCTTAAAAGCAGCAAGAGAAAAGCAGTTACCTACAAGGAAGCACCCATAAGACTGGCAGCTGATTTCTCAAAAGAAACTATGCAGGACAGAAGGGCTTGGCAAAAAATATTCGACAGGATGAAGACCCAGGATTTACAACCAAGAATAATTTATCCAGCAAAGTTGTCATTTAGAGTTGAAGGACAGATAAAGAGCTTCCCAGACAAAAATAAGCTAAAGGAAATTATCAACACCAAGCCAGTAATACAGGCAATGTTGGAGGGACTTCTTTAAGAAGAAAGAACAGGAATAAAGAATGGTAATAACTACATTCATATCAACAAGTACCTCAAATGGAAAAGAATTAAATGCTCCAACCAAAAGATAAGAGTGACTGAATGGATAAGAAACCAAGACTCCTACAAAAGACTCGCTTCAGATTAAAAGACACACACAGACCAAAAGGAAGGGGATGGAAAAAGATATTGCCTTGATGGACCTAGAGGGTATTGCGCTAATGAAATAAGTCAGATAAAGACAAATATCGCATAATTTCACTTACATGTGGAATCTAAACAAAATAAACACAAAAATGGAAATAAACTCATAGATACAGAGGATATTTGAGGGTTACTAGATGGGAGGGGAGTTGGGGGGCAGTGAAAAAGGGCAAAGGGACTAAGAAGTACAAATGGATAGTTACAAAACAGACATGGAGTGTAGCAAAAGAAAAAACAATAATGTTGCAATAAATATGTAAGGAGGAAGAGGTATACTAGATTTAGTGAGGTGATCATTTTGTGAATTATATCGATCTCTGATCACTATGCCGTACAACTGAAACTACTATATTATTGTATGTCAACTATAATTGAAAAAAAACTCATTGAATTGTTAAAAAAAAAAAAAAAAGATAAAATAAAAGATAGCATACCCCCCCAAGGGAGGGGTGGCTTTTCAGTTAAGAGAGCTGTGAACAGCCCAGAAGTGGGGGGTGGGGGGAAGAACAGAAATGGTTTATTATTTCAAAGCCAGTAGGGAAGGTAAGAAGAGGTTGGATAAGGAAAATAAAGATAAGCACTTAATAAAAGTAAAAAGAAAAAGGGAAACTATAAAAAGAAGGTAGAACAGAACACCAAAGGAAAAAACGAACAAACAAACATAGCACTAATCAGAATAAAATAAAAGGACTATTCTTGCTAATAAAGACAGATTGTTTTTTTGTTTTTTTTTTAAAGAACGAAAATCAGCTACCTAGTATTTATGACGTAATAACACTTAGGTATCAGTACATAGAAAAATGGAAAGGAAAGGGATAGAAAAATATATCCCAGGCAAATCCAATCCCAAAATAGGTGGAGTAGCTATATTACTCCAAGAAATGGAGAGTTTCATGACAAAAGTCTTAGGAAGAATTGGGAAGATCACTATAATAATCATTGATCCAATTCACTAGCAAGATACAACAATTTTTTAACTTGTACGTGCCTAAAAAAAGTAGCCTCTAACTATATGAAAGTAGAACATACAAAGCACAAATTACTAGAATGTCAGGTATCAAAGGATAAATTTGCCATTACAGTCAGAAATTCAACATATTTCATTCATAACCTGGTATTTAGGTCATGTAGGCAAATTAGTAGATCTACAAAATTAGTAAAGTATAAAAGATTAGAACAAAAAAATCAAGGTTGATTATTTAATATGTAACTCCAAACCTAACAATTAGAAAACATTGATTTTGCTCAAGCATACAATGGCAGATTTATAAAACTGACTATGTTAAGTAATTTCAAAGAAGTATTAACAAATAAACCATTCTGTCAGAACACAAGCAATTACACTGGAAGTCAATCATAAGAGATGAAGGAGAAAAAAAGCCCAGTCATTGTGAAATTTAAAAAAATAGTTCTAAATAACTCATAGGTCAATGAAGAAATCAGAATGGATTTGAGACTTGGTAATGTGAAATTACTACATACTAAACTGTAGGTCTGCAACCAAAACGGTACTTAGAAATATAAGCTTGAATGCTTAAAAAAAAAAAAAAAAAGAGGCTATAACTTAAAGAACTAAGCATCTAACTTACAGAGTTAAAAAAAAGAAAAACAAACCTAAAAACGCAAGTGTGAACACAAAAACTTTTATTTATATTCCATTGTCGACTTCTAATGAAATGAGACAAATGAGCAGTAGCAAAAGACAGGGTGGTCAGGAACCTAAGTCTAAAAGATAACGGGCGGGGGCAGGGAGGGGCACTTGTCATCGATAAAAAAGTTTCATTTAATTATTAGTTTCTAGAAGAGGGAGTTAGGCACACTGGATATGAAAATTGTTTCTGCAAATTCCAGATGTCCCTAACCAAAAAATAAAACAAAATGCTGTTATAATCACAATACAGAAATAGCATGTCTAGCTGAAAGTTCACCAAAATATTCTCTAAAAGCCAGACCAGCTGAATCATAGGGAGATTAAAAGATCTGAGCCCAAATTAGCACAAGGGAAGGAGAGTCTGTTCAAAATAAAGTAAGCATCCCATGTGAGAAAAGGAGTTATCTTTTTTTAAACCTCTTTGTTACTATTAAAATGAAAATATTTTAGCAGAAAAATATCATTAATGCCAGCCAATAAATTTTATGTTTCCAAACATAAAATCATCTTAAGTCTCAGCAATTATATTTTAAGACGGTTTAATCGGCTGCCTGGGCCACTTTGAAGCTACCCACAAACTACGTGGAGTAGCATTCTTTAAATCCAGTTCGCTTCAGAGTCTCATTCCTCCTGGTTACCATCTGCTCCGATCATATTTCTGTGACTATGATGCTTTAATTCTGTAATCCCAACTCACTATTCAGAGCTGCCCCGTTCACCCTGGCCTACCAAATCTGGTTAACTCACTAATCATGATAACACTAAAGGACAGAGCTAAAATAATAGTATACCAACCTTGAATTATTCTCTCCTTGTTCAATCTTGTTTCTCCACTAAAAGAGAGAGTAGGACAAAATAAGTAAATAAACCTTCATTACCAAATTAGTTTATTTTTGAGGTGAAAAAAAAATCAACGATGAAAGATGATGATATTCATAAAGATAGCATGTGAACCTTGTAACATACTTCCTAATCTAACCTAATATTTGAGTAAATTAGATAAAACTGAATGAATACAATAAAATTTATTCTAAATATTTGCAATCATCTAATTCACTAACTTGATGAGCTAAAAATTTCAAACTGCCCAAATTAAAATGTATAGATCATAAATCTTAAGTGAGTTGCAGGTGGAATATTTTATTTAAAAACATACATGTATATATATATATTTTGTTGTTGTTGTTGTTGTTAAATATTCTTATTAAAATAAGTATAGTGACCAAAGCATCTTTCACAGGCAGCAGGAACAAAATGTGAAAGTCAGTCCATTCATCGCTGGGCTGAATGAGCAAGCCCAGAGACTGCAAATGGAGTGGGAAAGAAGAGCACAAACCCTCAGATCCCCTGCCTTCTCCTAGGTCCTAGGTCTTCAGCTGTTCCATTTGTAGTGCTGATAACTATCTTGAAGACCACATTGAAGAACTGAGGTTTGGGTAATAAATTTTTAAGAATTAAAAAAAAAAATTTTTTTTTTTTTTAAGCAACCAGAAAGGTAAAAGGACTGGAAACTTTGTCACAAACTAACCATCAATTGAGACTTGAAGGTGAAGGAGGCAGTGGAACATGGATAAAACTGAATGACAGGAAAGAACTACAGTAAACGCCATCATCACATACACGAAAAGCTATCAAGGAGAATTCAGTGAAACTTCATTGAGCTCTTTCTGTGTGATAAGTACAGTGCTAGGCATTGGAGACACAGAGATGGTCAGTGGCTGCCCTTGAGAAAGGAGTTGGCTTGTTCTTTGTGGACACTACACGTAGAATAGGGAATGGGTTGTAAAAATAGTAAACAGATTTCTTCAAAACAAGTTATTTCCTCATTTGGAATCAAATGTCTACAGCCCACATGTATATCCTTCTATGTCAATGAGAGGTGAAAATCTTTAAAGTAAACTCCATTGCCATATATCAGGCTCAGATACATTGCTTTGGTTTCACACTTAACAAGCTTGGTTTAGCTCAAGTACTTCAGTTTCCTCGTCCGTCAAAGGAGACTAGTAATAATCTATCTCACAGGACTCTTGTGATAATTGAGTGAATACAGGTAAAGTGCTTAGAATACTGCTTGGCTTTTAGTAAGCACTCAATAGTCCTTTCTATTTATAAGTCATTTTTGGAAGGAGTTTTATAGAAATCAAAGATTTAACTTAATGCATTTTTTAATCTTTTAAAAACTGTGAAATAAACACATAACAAATAACATAACTATAAAGCCAACACCCATATAACACTACCCAAGTTAACAGATCACTGCCAGCCTCCTAGATCCCTTTCCAATCACAATATCCTTTCACTCCCCCGCCCCCCTTCCAAGGGATCTATTACCTTGACGTTCGGATGCTCATTTGCTTGCCTTTCCTCATAGCTTCCCCACCACACGTAGAGCATGGATTAGTTTAGTTGTTGTTGAACTTTACAATGAATTGCTTACTATGTAGTCTTCTGCATATTGTTTCTTTTGTTCAAAATTTTAAGACATTAATATTGTTGAATGCGGCTGTGCTCCTTGTATTCTCATTACTGTGTAATACTCCACTGTAAGAATTTATCAAAATCTATTTATATGGTCTATTGTCGACATTTAGAGTGTTTCCAGTTTGGGGCCATGCTGCTATAAATATGTTTGTACACAGTGGATCATATTCTCTAGGGCAGTAGTTTTCAAAGTGTGGTCCCTGAACCAGTATCTCTAGCATTGCCTGGAAACTGGTGGAAAATGCAAAGTCTTGGGCCCCACACTGAATCATAAATTCAGAGGCTGGGGCCCAGCAATCAGTGTTTTAATAAACCCACCAAGTGATTCTGATGCATGCTTATGTTTGAGAACCATCCAAAGATTGGCAAATAATTCTTTTGGTAAACAAAGTTTTATTGGGATACAGTCACACCCATTTGTTTATTTATTGTTATGGTTACTTTCACACTATAATAGTGGAGCTGAGCAGTTCAGACTGTAGAGCCCACAGAGCCTAAACTATTATCTGGCCTTTTAATTAAAATTTGCTCACCATGCCTCGTGATATATACCTAGCGTTAGAATTGTTGGACCATGGGGTATGCAAATATCCAGCTTCATCAGATAATGCTGAAGCAGTTATACCCATTTATACCACTCTACAGTGTTCCACATCCTCACCACCACTTAGTAGTATAAAGACTTTAGATTAGTGCCAGTCAGACACCTGAACAGTTTAACTCACCTTAATTTTAATTTGTATTTCCCTGATTATTATGAAGGCTGATAACACCTACATGTGTTTAAATAAAGCTCTCATTAAAAAAAAAAAAAAATCCCATGGGATGGAGCTACTTGGATCCAGAAAGGAACTCCATCAAACCTCAAAGTCAGAATCACAGCTCAGGTCTGCCTGAAACTTTGTCCCTTGTTTACAAAAAAAATAGTTGCCAACCTCTGCCAGGAGCAGTTGTTCTCAAACTGGAGCATGTACCAGAATTTCCTGATGGGCTTATTAA